GGGGGGGGGACCAAGCTTTGAAGATATTTTGACATAGTGGCAAAACTGGAAAAATATTCAGTCTGATGACATTTGGAAGTCTAGAAAAGCTGCATGCTCCATTCTACCCTCAATGGAACAATATTACTCTCTCCCAACCCAGAGGGGCCAATCCACCAGTTTCCAGCAGAGAACCATGGACTAATATTTGGAGGTGCTGACTCTCTTCCTGACAGCTTCATACTTGGCTGCACACCGCCCCAGTGCATGCTGGAGGTCACGCTGTGATGAAGCCAACAGAACCACATCGTCGTCAGTTGAGGTGGTTTGGGCATCTGATCAGGATGCATCCTGTTAGAGGTGTTCTGGGCATGTCCCACTGGTAGGAGGCCCCGGGGCAGACCCAGAACACGCTGGAAGGATTACATATCTCATCTGGCCTGGGAACACCTTGGGGTCCCCCAGGAGGAGCTGGAAAGCGTTGCTGGGGAAAGGGACGTCTGGGGTGCTTTGCTTGGGCTGCTGTAATTTGGTGCACGTCCTGGACTGCATGAGTGAATGACATTAAACACATGTACATCTAATTGTGTCCAACCTCTATGCTATATCATATCTACATAACTTCCTGTTTGTATTTAAGCATTAACTTTTGCCTGATAAAAAAAACCCAACTCTAAATTCAGAGTTAAGATGCTAAATGTTTATTGGCTCTAACAGCATGACACTTCCCACAAACATCCTCCATTTCTGCATCTCCCATCTTCTTAACCTCAAAACAAAACCAAACAAAAACCTCACATGACCCCTTTACGCTGAGCCCTGGACACGAGTGCCAAAAATACCAGAAATGGAATTCCATGTTTTTGCAACATCCTTGATATAATCACTTTTGCCTTGGATTGCATCCAGATGACATCGCAGCACATCTGATGCAATTGTTCACCCCTCATAAATCTTAACCAAAGCAACCTCTTGGTGTGGAGGAATTTTAACAAGCAGAGCCATTGCTGATGGAGTGAAACTGACATCCATACAGCGCTCAGTCAAGTGGAAATAAAGAAAAACAAGCTAATAGAGTGGCCTCTGTGATTTTCTCTCCTGGGCCATTTGATCTCTGCAGAATTATTGCACCAACTTTTTAGGGTTTAGCTGAAGCTACCTGTGCATGAAAGCTGTGAAAAGCTGATGATGAAGGAATACTTGCATTGGAGGGGACAAGATGAAAATGTTTGCTGTTATTGAAAGCAGCCCTCCTGCAGTCTGTGCAGCTGCCTCTACATCACCCCTGACCCTTTATTCCCCCGGAGACCGAAGGCCTCCGTCAAGCTGTACACACATCCAAGAGCACATGCACACACAGTACAATGCAGGAAAGTGTCCAGCTTTTAAACTGCGGTAATTACTTGCTGAAGCCTGGAAGAGTGCTGGCTTTGTTCCCTGCTCAGGCTGGGCAGGGTGGTGTGGGAGCCAATAAGGGGAGAAAACATGCAGAATAAGTTAGAAGGGGGGAGGCCATGTTGAAGCAAGTGTTTTGCCATTGTCCGCAGGTTCATGAGCATTCACCAGTCGCCTGCAAATGTGTGTCCGTAAGGGTTAACAGGAAGCACAGAGAGGACTGTTGATTTCTGTTTTGGGAAACACATCAGGAGGAAAAGAGGAAACGATTCAGATACAAAAAAAGAGGTAAGAACTCGAGTTTGCAGGACGAATGCACAATGATGTGAACTTCAGTTTAGCAAAATTGAGTAAACAAAGTGTGGTCAGTTTGAGGTGTCCAAGGAGGATGTGCAGCCACAGAGACATGGACAGGACACATGTGAAGACAGAGGAGGCTGACAAGGAGAAGACGGAAGAGGACGTGGTGCGCCTCCGGAGAGAGATTGGCCTGCTGCCTGCAGTGTGCTTCATCATTGGCACAGTGGTGGGCAGTGGGATCTTCATCGCACCCAAGGGAGTCCTGATGAACAGTGGCAGCGTGGGGCTCTCTCTGCTGGTGTGGGCGCTGTGTGGGGTCCTCTCCATGTTTGGTAAGATGCCTCATGGTCTAGTTAATCTCTGCTGTCCTGGTAAATCCTTGTAACTGTTCATTTCTATGTGTTACTTTCACTGAATTTTACATTTATACACAGAATAAAAATATTGCACAGAATAAAATATTTTAAAACACAATATGAAATGACAATGACATTTAAAGCCTTGCACCAGGTTTTGAATCCCTTTAAAACTTCCTATATTACATTATTTCCTCTGATAAGATTATCAATTGTTGCATTTCATGGTTATTAAACTTTTAAGTGTATTTTTGGATAGCATTATGTAAGTGTACATTTGTTTTCAATATATCCATCAATGTATTTTTCAATCCATCATTCTGTCAAATCATTGTAATAATTAGGTTATTCATAAGTAACACAATAATGAGACTAAGAGACGGCAGCAATGGTAGTGGCTACAGCATGCTAACATCTCCATACTAACATGCTCACATGATAATGCTAACATATTTATAGTATAATCAATTACTAAAATATGTATATTCATCTGTGAATTTGACTGCAAGTTTTTCACAAGTTACACAATAACAAAACAAAGAATCTACAGCCATGCTGGTGGCTCTGAGGCTGTACTTTGTACTAAATGCTAACATTACCATGCTTAGGAGCTAACATGACAATGCTAATATTGTTGTTAGAATTAATCACTAGAAGATGTGTATTTATCCGTTCATTTGACTGCAAATTATTCATAAGTTACACAATAACAACACAAAGACTTTACAGCCATGCTAGTAGCTCTGTAAGGCCGTACTACGTGCTAAATGCTAACGTCACCACACTAACATGCTCACATGATATTGTCAACATATTTGCGATAATTAATCACTAAAATATGTACATTCTGTTGTGTATTTGGCTGCAAGTTTTTCACAAGTTACACAATAACAAAACAAGAATCTACAGCCTTGCGTGTGGCTCTGTGAAGCTGTACTTAATGCTAAATGCTAACATCACCATGCTAACAAGCTCATCTGACAATGCTGACTTTATCAGTTAATCACTAGATGATGTGTATTTATCTGTTCGTTTGGCTTCAAGTTATTCATACATTACACATTAACAAGACAAAGAATGTACAGTCATGCTAGTGACCATGTGGGGCAATACTTCATGCTAAATGCTAACATCACCATGCTAATAAGCTCCTGTGACAATGCTGATGTATAGCAGATAAACCCTTTTACCATGTTTGCTATGGGTGTGTTCGGAAATACTTACTCCAAGTGTGCTCTGGCACTTGGAGTACACCGTAAAGCGTAGCACTATTGGAATGTTAAGTTTTGTTATTCAGAGCACCACGCTCTCAGAGCAGCAGAGCGCAGATTGGATTTCCAAACATGTTGGAAATCCAGTGTTGTTTATCCTATGTTAGTTTAGCATGCTAGCATTCTAACATTTGCCAATTAGTACTAAACACAAACTTTAGGTGATTTTGTCATAATCCAAATGATTGTACAAGATCAAACGTTGACCTGATGGTGGATGTTAGTGCTGATGGTGGGATCGACATTGCCAGACCTAGCACACATTCAGTGCCCTAGGCAAGCTCTCTCCTTTTATGTACAATTTTGGCAATTTTGTTCTCTTCTGGGGGGATTCATCCTGTGGGGGACATGAATATGTGTGCCAATTTGATGGTAGTCTGTGTCTTTACCAAATTTTGTAGCTCTGACCAACCAACAGCCTGACAGTACCATCTAACAAAGCAACATCACTGACATGGCAGGAAAATGTAATTCCAATATACAACCACTGATTAAAAACTATCAGCACCTACAACTTAAATTACATTTCATGTTTTTCCTGCTGCTCTCTGTTCCATCAGGGGCCCTTTGCTATGCTGAACTGGGCACCACTTTCAAAAAGTCAGGGGGCCACTACACTTACCTACTGGAGACACTGGGGCCACTGCCTGCCTTTTTACGACTCTGGGCTGAGTTCTTATTCATCAGGTTGGTTTAGATTTGTTTCATCTTGTTTGTCCTGTCCTAAAAATAAAATCACGGCATCTAACAAGCATGTTTTCGATGTCCAGGCCTGCTGTTGCTTCCTATGTGTCCCTGGCTTTTGGCCGCTATGTGGTGGAGCCATTCTTTGTACCTTGTGCTGCTCCCACAGTGCTAATCAAACTTGTTTCCATCCTGGGACTCAGTGAGTGCTTTTATATGATAAACTAAAGCCCTTTTGAGGATATGTGCCTGGACTAACTGCGGCCCCCCCACCTTTGAAATCTACCCTTACATTGTTATACCTTACAGATCCATATTGTGCAAAATATACTGCAAATCCATAAATGTTCATCTAACCAGCTGTTTGTCTTTGTGTCTGTAGCATTTGTCGTGGCAGTCAACTGCTGGAGTGTGACCACGGCCTCTCGCACTCAGGTCACCTTGACTTTTATTAAGATGTTTGCTCTGGTCCTCATCATCATCCCTGGTGTCATTGCACTGGCTAAAGGTGGGAGGATGTACAGTAATTGTTTCTTCTGATGATACAGATGGCTTTGCAGCTGTTAGGTCCTTTCAAATGGCATTCATTCATCTGCTTCCTCCTGTTTCCAGGACAAACCGAGAATTTCCAGAATGGTTTTGAGGTTGACTTATTAACATTGGATAAGTTGCCCCTGGCCTTCTATAATGGCCTATATGCCTATGGTGGATGGTAAGCAAGCCTTTATCACAGTAAAAACCCCGGCTCTGTTGTCTTCTTGTACCATACATGAAACCTTTTTACTGACTCTACTACCAGGCTTTACCTTTTCCCTTCAGGTTTTACTTGAACTTTGTCACAGAAGAGGTCATAAACCCAAACAGGTATTTTACATCCGACGTCTGCTCTCCACTCAATCTATTTTTAAAAGCCTTGTTGCCTTGAATATACTATCATATCACTCTGTGTGTAACCTGTCTTGTCAGAAACATCCCGCTGGCAATAACCTTCTCCATGGTGACAGTGACAGTCTTTTATGTGCTTGTAAATGTGGCCTACTACACCATGATGACTCCGTCTGAGCTGCTGGTGTCTGATGCCGTGGCTGTGGTTAGTGCTTTATTGTATTTAAAAAGAAATCCATGAGAAATATGCACTATGTGTATAAATGGGGATCTAATCCTGTGTCTCTGCAGACGTTTGCGAACCGTGCTCTTCAGGGATTGGCTTCTGTGATTCCCTTTCTTGTGGCCCTATCCTGCCTTGGAGCACTTAACGGTGGCTTCTTTGGGGCACCCAGGTAATCTGGGCACAGAAAGGTTATTATAGTCATCTATATGTGGGTTTTAAATCAGCCAAGAATGACTGCTGACAGCGTTGTAAGTCTGTTTGTGTTGCAGGATGCTGTTTGTGGGAGCCAGAGAGGGCCACTGGCCTCCAGTCTTTTCCATGATTCACATCCGCAGACATACACCAATGCCTGCTGTGCTGTTACTGGTAAAATTCTTTTTCTTGTCAGAATACTATTTCCAAGGTCAAGAATGAACTTTAATGCTCAATGTGTGTGAGCTTTGACCAAAAATGTCGTAATGAAATTCATTTAAAGGAGCTGTATGTGACAATATTTGCAATATATGTATTCCCTGTCTTAATTTTTGAGAATAGCGTCAAAAGCTGTCCATTATAAATACAGTACACTGAATGGTTTTGGGACTTTTTCTAAAAACTGATTTTATTGATTCCATTTGCATCCCATAATCACTTGTATATACAATTCTAAATGTTTATTGGCAAGAAACAATTCAATTAGGACGTGGTTTGAATGGGAACCTTTGCTCTCAACTACATTAATCTGTCAGAACAGAGCCAGACTGGGTATGGATATGTCATTACAGCTGTATTGTCTGTCTCCAGTACCCCTTGGTGATTGTGATGTTAATCCGTGGAGAGATCTACCAGCTCATCAACTTCGTCTCCTTTGCTCGCTGGTTCTTCATCGCCTTGGCAACCTTGGGGCTGCTCATCCATCGATATCGCTTCCCCCACCACCCAAGACCTTTCAAGGTCAGTGTGTCAAACTGTGCAGCATTCTCCATTATAAACTGTACACTAAAATGACACCACACTGTGTTTTTGCTCTTTTTGATGACCCAAAGATGCCCCTGGCCATCGCAGTCATCTTCACGGTGGTTTGCTTCTTCATCGTGGGCCTGTCTCTGTACTCGGACCCCTGGAACACTGGGCAAAGCTTCGCTCTCACTCTGACCGGGGTCCCAGTTTACTATGTGACCATCTACCGCTTTCGCTTGCCCAATAGATGCAGCCGCATCTTCAGTAAGTTGTACCAAAATCTGCTAACTTGTCATTTTTTAAGGGTTTTATGAGAGAATACACAGAACGGTCAGATTTATAGTTCAACACACTGGGGAAAGATGTCGTTCCATCTTCTGTACAGTAGTGGCAAAATGGCTCCAATGTGATCACTGCAGGCAATTAGCTGTGTCACAATTCAAGGGCTGCAGCCTTTGAAGGACGCGGCCTTCGCGGTCGACGACGGCTACGTCCTTTGAAGACCGCATCAGCCAAACCGAATTGTCTCATGGGATGGTCCAGTCTGCGGAGGATTTCCTGGTTACATCAACAGTTGTTCTCGCCCTGATCCATTGGCATTGCTTCCCTTTTCCTGCCACAAAGGATTCATCTGTTACATCTGTAGTTTATCAGGCCTTTCTTATTGCAATGACAAAATGATGGTGAGATGATGGTGAAGAAAAAGACTCCGCTGATACAGGCTTGTTTCGGATCAAGAGAACTTTATTAGCAAGCCAGGGTATCAGTTCAGATTTCTGCAGCAATCTGGGAGAGATTCAGCCAATCTTCGAAACTCTCTCTCCTCTGTCCCCCCAAACTCCATGTTTTAAGGCCTGTGAGACATCCTCATCCATTTTCATAATATTAGCTCATTTCTGATAGCATAATGGGATACCAAACCATCCTCCTAACCAAAGGTGGTCATTCCCTTCTCCAGTTTCAGAAGGTTATTTGTTTCTTCTGTGTTTCTTTGTTCCTTTAGTTTCTCCACGTAGGGTTCTGGATGTCACTTCTACATGCATAAACACAATATAACAGTGGCGCCTTACTGCTCCTCGGCAAGCCACCAATGAGTCTATACATTATGAGGCCCGAATCCTTCAAGATGTTCCTTAGGAGAAACAATGCAGTTAGCCTTCGCTTACGTGCCATGCAATTACCATATATGTATGTATCCTGTGGATGATCCCTTGTATCTTGGCAGACTCATGGATTCCTGTTTGCATCTGTAGAGCTGTAGGCCCCACAGCACAGTTAGAATGATGGATTCATCCTTACAGTCGAAAACAACGGGAGTCTGGGTGGACAGCAGTCTCTAAAGGCATCCAAAAATAATCAGCATTAATGTACATTGGATGAGCAGACACCTCACATCCTCCAAATTCTGGGAAAGAAGGCTGCATTTCTGGGCCGCGGTTGATGGAACCTTTGAAATGGGACAGCCTTGGTCGAGCTGATGTGACGTAATCGGTCTTCAAATGCAGCCTTCGAAGGCTGCAGCCCCTGAATTGAGACACAGCTATTGAGAACCATCGAGTAACGTCCATTAACAGTGCTTGTTTTTGCCACTGACAGGCTCAGGTTGTTATTGTAAGTGTCTGTCAACATTAGGGAAAGGATCCCTACAGACACAGACCTTTTTGTTAAGGAGAAGGATCCTTTTTGATTGACCAGAAACAGACCCAAAATATCTAAAGGCAAACTCGCGAAATTCATTTACATAAACAGTAATTTAAGCGTGTGTATACCCAGCATGTTTTTACATCTAACTGAGTGAATTGAGGGTTAATTTCACCCAAACCAGAGTCACTGATTGTTGAACAGTGGAAAATGAACCAAGACAGCTTTTGAGAGTTATTTTGCTTTTGTTGTGAATGGAATGTGATTTATGATGATAAAATTACTATTTACTCAAATTGAGTCTGGGGGGTTTGACTATAGCAATTTCAGGACTCTTTCTGGTTAAACAAAAAGCATTCTCCTCTTAAAAATGTCTATCTTTGTAGGGATCCTTTCCATAATACTGTCAGACACTTAGAATGTCAGGAATCATTTCAGGAAGGACCCAAATGCAGGTGGCAGGTTGAAGGTAAAACAAAAAGCAAGCTCTAATGCTGATTAAGAAAAAACTCGAAACAGGTAGGGAACAAAACACAAAGTCCAAAAGAACAGGACAGAACAGGTGTGAATGGAAGACTCTGGGAACAGGGATGGACTAACGAGACTGATGAAGACAGGTGTGATAGAAAACAGGCGTTGGTGTGGAACAAAAACTGTTTTCATTTTCAACTTCAAATTTAGCTCAAACCACCTTTAACCATTTTATTTTACTTTGGCAAGAATGAATTGTTTGAAAATAATTCTGACTCTCTTCAATGTTCCCAGACTACTGCAGTAAGCAGCTGCAAATCCTTCTAGAAGTGGCTCAACAGGAAGTGCAGACGTACTGAAGACCCCAAAGACTTCTTTCTACTGACACAACACCTGGATACCACTTTAACAAGATCAAGAATCTTTTTGTTTAGAGTTCAAATCTGTGTCTTACATGTCCATTTTGATACTTACAAGAATTTCAAGATGCTGTTTTGAGAAAGCACTATGCTGGAAACAGTTGCTGATTCTGACTTCTCTTTTAAAATTTCACTTAGACTACACTTGACTGAGGTAATGTGCTATGCTGGACATATTTTTGTGTTTTTAAGAGACACTGCCACTGGAATAAGAGGTGCTTTTCTCTACTGTTACCATTCATGAACATCTGAAACTCTGCTCATGATAGTCTTATTTGTACATGGATTTATCCCAACTAATAAGGTCATTTTTTAATCACAGAGACGATGCACAAATGGTTTCAACTTTTATTCAAATATAAATAAAAATAGGCAATCTTGTTGTTTTTTATTTACACTACACCTGACAGGGGTTTTTAACGTTGCTGTAGTTTGTGTGAGGTCATAGAAACCTTGTTGTTTTAGATTTTTAAATGAGAGCTGAGCGACGTAAATCAAAGACAAGAGCGAATAAAAGCCTGATTCTACCAGTAACTGTGTCCTTCAAACACACACAGGGTGGAGTACCAAAACTTCTCTATTCTACAGTTTCTATATGACCGGTACTTACAGGTCGAATCACAACACAGATGTCGATGCCTCATTTCATCATCAGATTGTGTGCATAGCAAGTGTGCGAGGGAGGCCCTTTTTACGCAGAGATCGTTCTATGGCGCTGCCAGTAAGAGGAAGTGACAGGGAGCTGGATGGGAACCAAGCAGGAATCGGTTTGAGGGGAAAGAAGTTTCGCCCTTCTCAGTTCAAGAATACTGCCTCACGTGACCTTACTGTGCACTCTCTTTCCTTCTGCCAATAAGGGGAGAAAGCATGCAGAATTAATTAGAAGGGGAGGAGCCCATGTTGAAGCAAGTGTTGTGTCATCTACCACAGTTTCATAAACATTCATTAATCAGTTGCAAATGTGTGTCTGTCAGGGTGAACAAGCACAAAGAGGACTGTTGTTTCTGTTTTATCCAACACATCAGGAAGAAAGAGGAAAGGATTCGGAGACAGTAAAAGAGGTAAGAACTCGAGTTTGCAGGACGAATGCATAATAAGGACGTGAACTTCAGTTTAGCAAAATTGAGTAAACAAAGTGTGGTCAGTTTGAGGTGTCCAAGGAGGATGTGCAGCCACAGAGACATGGACAGGACACATGTGAAGACAGAGGAGGCTGACAAGGAGAAGACGGAAGAGGACGTGGTGCTCCTCCGGAGAGAGATTGGCCTGCTGCCTGCAGTGTGCTTCATCATTGGCACAGTGGTGGGCAGTGGGATCTTCATCGCACCCAAGGGAGTCCTGATGAACAGTGGCAGCGTGGGGCTCTCTCTGCTGGTGTGGGTGCTGTGTGGGGTCCTCTCCATGTTTGGTAAGATGCCTCATGGTCTAGTTAATCTCTGCTGTCCTGGTAAATCCTTATCACTGTTTTATTTTATTTATTCACTCGCTATGTTCACACAAAATAAAATATTTTAGAACACAATAGGAAATAATAAAACAAACAGTATGTTGTTTGTAATGCTTGTAATTCCAACGCTGATTAAGAACTATCAACATCTAAGAACTTTAATTATATTTCATATGTTTTTCCCTGATCTGCTCTCTGTTCCATCAGGGGCCCTTTGCTATGCTGAACTGGGCACCAGTTTTAAAAAATCAGGGGCTGACTACGCTTACTTACTGGAGACACTGGGGCCACTGCCTGCCTTTTTACGACTCTGGGTTGAGTTCTTATTCATCAGGTTAGTTTAGATTTGTTTCGTCTTGTTTGTCCTCGTCTAAAATCAAACCACAACACCTAACAAACATGTTCTCTGTGTCCAGGCCTGCTGTTGCTTCCTACATGTCCCTGGCTTTTGGCCGTTATGTGGTGGAGCCATTCTTTGAACCCTGTGCTGCTCCGACAGTGCTAATCAAACTTGTTGCCATCCTGGGGGCAAGTGAGTGCTTTTATACATCACTTTTATACCAGGGGCTTAACTTATAAGGGGGACACAGAGGATAGGTCCCCTGCATTTTTTAAGAGGGCAGTGTTGGACCCCTCCAATTTACATTATATTGAAGAATGGAAGTTGGAATGGTGTTTGTATCTTTTAGCTGTAGGAAACTATATAAAGATGAAACTGTCCCAAGGACAGACAGTCCTGACCATAAAGGATCCCCAGCAGGGCGCTGTCCCATCCAACTACTGGCCAATAACCTGACTCTGTACAACATGGAAGCTCCTGTCAGGCATCATAGCAGCTAAGATGATTAGGCACATGGCCCAATACATGAGCAAGGCCCAAAAAGGAATTGGAAGTAATACCAGGGGAGCCAAGCACCAGATACTGGTTGATAGAGCAGTCACTGCAGACTGCAAGACCAGGCAGATCAACCAGTGCACCACCTTGATTGACTACAAGCCTACGACTCAATGCCACACACAGGGATACTGGAATGCTTGGAAAGAGAACCTTCATCAAGAACTCAATGGGGCTTAGGAAAACGACTCTGGAGGCCAACTCTAAGCCACAAGTTACCATCAAGTGCGGCACATACCAAGATGATGCACTGTCTCCACTTCTGTTCTGCATAAGCCTGAACCTACTCAGCCAACTCATCACAAAGAATGGCTACAGATACCAGTTCCGAGGTGGAGCAACCACCAGTCACCTCCTCTACATGAATGACATTAAGCTGTGTGCAAGGGAGGCCAGCAATGACATTGAAATTTCATTCAGACTAGGTAAGTGTGGTCAGATAGTGTCAAAGAGAGGGAAGATGATCAGAAGGGGGCATTGAAGTACCAGAGGGCAGCATTGCAGATGTTCAGGGCAGCCACAAATACCTTGGGGTCCTGCAGGCAAATGGGAACCATTAGGAGGCCGCAAGGAAGTCAGTCACAGCCAAATAGCTACACAGAGAAAGGCAGGTCCTGAAAAGTTGGCTGAACGGAAAGAACAAGGTCCAAGCCATCAACACGTACGCCCCGCCAGTCATCAGATACCCCGCTGGTATAATAAGCTGGTCAAAGGAGGAGATAGAGGCCACTGATATCAAGACAAGGTAGCATCTCACAATGCATGGAGGGTTTCATCCCAGGTCCAGCACCCTGAGACTGTACCGAAGACTGGTGAGCATCAGAGCCACTGTCCAGGACTAAACAACCATGACCCAGGAACACATCAGGAAGATGGCCCCCGAAGATGAGCTGCTAAGTGAATACCTCAGGCAGCAAAAACCCAAAAATGCAGAAGAGGAGGGTGAGCCATCATGGAAGAACAAGCCCCTGCAAGGCATGTAACACCAACAGTCTGAAGGAGTGGCCACCATCAAGAAACCCTACCAGTGGCTGGAAGTGGCTAGAACAGGCACTTAGTACAGGATCAATAGAAGCAGGGGTTTACCACACCAGACAGGACCCCAGGTGCAGGCTGTGCTATAATGAGACAGTTCAGCACATAACAGCAGGGTGTAAGGTGCAGGCAGTAACTGAGTACATAGAACACCATAACCAGGGGTCAAACTGAGGGCCCAAGCTTGAGGAAAGCACACTACCACCCCCCATGGAGTGGTTCTGTCCTTGCAATATAAAACCTTATAAATCTATATAGTGCAAAATATACTGTACAGTCATTAATGTGTATTTGACCAGTTGTTTGTCTTTGTGTCTGTAGCGTTTGTCATGGCAGTCAACTGCTGGAGTGTGACCACGGCCTCTCGCACTCAGGTCACCTTGACTTTCATTAAGATGTTTGCTCTGGCCCTCATCATCATCCCTGGTGTCATCGCACTGGCTAAAGGTGGGAGGATGCAGATGGCTTTACAGCTGTTAGGTCCTGTCATTTGACATGTGTTTGTTGACAATGCTCAGTTACTCTCTCTTTCTGTGTCTTTGTGTTTCCAGGAAAAACTGAGAATTTCCAGAATGGTTTTGAGGTTGACTTATTAACATTAGATAGATTGCCCCTGGCCTTCTATAATGGCCTATATGCCTATGCTGGATGGTAAGCAAGCATTTATTATAGTAAAAACACCAGCTTTGTTGTCTTCTTGTACCACACATGGAACCTTTTCACTGACTCTATTACCGTATAATAACCAGTAGTATTATAAAAACATCAGAACTGTCTGCTTTTGTTGACGAGCTTTCCTTTTTCCTTTAGGTTTTACTTGAACTTTGTCACAGAAGAGGTCATAAACCCAAACAGGTATTTTACATCTGACGTCTGCTCTCCACTCAATCTCTTTTTAAAAGCCTTGTTGCCTTGAATATACTATCATATCACTCTGTGTGTAACCTGTCTTGTCAGAAACATCCCGCTGGCAATAACCTTTTCCATGGTGACAGTGACAGTCTTTTATGTGCTTGTAAATGTGGCCTACTACACCATGATGACTCCGGCTGAGCTGCTGGTGTCTGATGCCGTGGCTGTGGTTAGTGCTTTATTGCATTTAAAAAGAAATCCATGAGAAATATGCACTATGTGTATAAATGGGGATCTAATCCTGTGTCTCTGCAGACGTTTGCGAACCGTGCTCTTCAGGGATTGGCTTCTGTGATTCCCTTTCTAGTGGCCCTATCCTGCCTTGGAGCACTTAACGGTGGTTTCTTTGGGTCAGCCAGGTAATCTGAGCACAGAAAGGTTATTACTGTCATCTATGTGTGTGCTTCAAATCAGCCAAGAATGACTGCTAACAGCCTTGTAAGAGTGCTTTCAAACCTGCCATGTTTGGTTTGGTCAAATTGTACTCAAGTTCGTTTGCCCCCTCAGTGTGGTTTGTTTGGGCGGGTGTGAACACAGCAATCACACGACCTGACCCAGACCTTCTTGAAGAGGTGGTCTCAGTCTGGTTACAAACGAACTCTGGTGCGGTTCGTTTGTGGTGAGAACGTATTCCGACCTGGATCTGAACCAACTGCAGTCACATGACACATTGTTTGGGTTAAATATGAGCATGTTACAGTCCTGGAGGATTATTAATGTGCACCTCCTCCTGTACTGCCTTAATATGCACATTCAGCACATCCAATGCATCAAAACATTGTTTTCTAGTTGGAGCCGCGCCTCGTTTTCAAACTGTATGGTTTGACTAAAATGAACAATGACAGCAATATAGTCCACGATGAGCAGC